GGGGGGGGGTTGCTGTTCGCTGCAGTCTCCTGCCTCTCGCAGCGGATAAGGGGGCGGGCGGCGGGGTCTCTTCTGTTTTGCCCCTGGGGTCGCGCCCCCGTTTTTCGGGCTGGTGGGCTCCACGGGGGGGGGCTTTGAAGAGCTGGGAGGGAGGGAATCGGGAGCCGCATCAGCCCGCCTCCTGCTAAGCATCGCCCCGCGGGGTCTCGCGCGCCACCGCAGGACCTTCCCCAACGACGACCTCCATGCCCATCATCCCCAGCCGGCTCGCCTATCGGGAACCAGAGTAGGGCTGCAATACGGGACCGGGGGCGCCAGGTTGCAAAAGGGACATGCGGCTGAGCGGGTGGGGCGGGTCGCGCATGCGCGCCCTCCGCAGCCGACGTCCCTCCAGAGAAGAGACTCGGATTGGGCGCGCGTTTCCTTGCGCGGTTGCCGGGGAGACGCTCCTGCCCTCCGATTGGCTGAGCCGCCGGGCGGAAGGTCGCTGCGGACTTCCGTCGCGCGACCCGGAAGGAGATGGCGGCGGCGCCTCCGCCGCGCGGGCGGGAACTGCGGCTTCTCTGTCTCCACGGCTACGGGCAGAACGCGGAGCGGTTCCGCGCCCGGACCGGCGCCCTCCGGAAGGCCCTGCGAGGCCGCGCCCAGCTCCTCTACCTAGACGCGCCGCACCGCCTGCCGCCGGCCGAGGGGGAGCCGGAACGCGAGGGCGGCGCCGGGCCGCGGGGGTGGTGGCCGGAGTCGGAGGCCGGGCCGGAGCCGGGGGAGGCGCTGCGGGCGGTGGCGGCGGCGCTGGCGGCGCTGGGCCCCGTGGACGGCCTGCTGGGCTTCAGCCAGGGCGCGGCGCTGGCCGGGCTGCTGTGCGCGCTGCGGGAGCGCGGGGACGGGCGCTTCCCCTTCCGCTTCGCCCTGCTGGTGGCCGGCTTCCCCGTGGCCGAGGCGGGGGCGGCGGCGGCGGGGGCGCTGCGGGTGCCCAGCCTGCATGTCTACGGCGAGGCCGACCACGTCATCCCGGCGGCGGAGAGCCGGGCGCTGGCCGGGCGCTTCGCACACCCCGCCCTGCTGGCCCACGCCGGCGGCCACTTCGTCCCCGCCGCCGCCGCGCAGAGGGCCGCCTACCTGGGCTTCCTGGGCCGCTTCGAGGGCTCCGCGGAGGACGAGCTCGGGCCGCCCCGATCGCCGCCGGCTGCCCCCCACGCCTCGGACTCGCGCTCGGCGGCTTCCCTGCGGGGCTGCGGCGAAGGTCCAGCCTCGGGTCAGGCGGCGGCGGCTGCAGGAGGAGGAGGAGGAAAGGCCCGTCCCGGAGACCCGCGAGACACCGCCCGGGGCTCTCCCCCAAGCGCTCCATGACGGTCCCTGCCTGGAGGTTGTGGTGCTCCGATTAGGGGGCCTTCCGGGGTAGAAGACCGTCGGAGCCGCTGAAGTTTGGAGGCCCGGAAGCCTCTCCGTGTTTCAGGCTGGTCCTGCCAGGTGTGGCTGGTCACATGGTCGGGACTTGCCAGGCGCCCAGGTTGCAGATCCGCTTTCCATCTCAGCTCAGGGAGAGAGTCCAGGCTCAGACTGAAGGGGGGACTTAAAACGGAGGCGGCTGTCCTGGGATGTGGAACCTGCCGCTTGTCCCCGGAGGAAGAAGAGGCAGCCCCACTCTGCCCACTCCAAAGGCTGCAAGAGGAGAGGATTGCCGGCTCTGCTGCCATCCGAATCAGGGCCCTGAAGGACCTTCCTTTGGCCCTCCTTGCTCTGGTCCGATCCTGAGAGAGGAAGGAGGGAGGCAGGGGTTCTGGAGTCCAGGGAGAGGAGGGGTGTTTCCGTCCCCTCAAAGTTTAGATCAAGTCAAAGTGACAGTGAGTGAGGAAAAAGGGCCTTTGGTTCCAGGAATTGCTGTTGCAGCTTTTGCGGTCAGACATTGTGGGGGATCCATCACTGGAGGGTTTTAAGAAGGGACTGGACAGCATTTGTCTGGAATGGTATGAGGTCTCCTGTTTGAGCAGAGGGCTGGACTAGAAGACCTCCAAGGTGCCTTCTAGCTGTATTCTAATTGATTGATTAGGATTTTGAGCTTTATTTTAGTAAAGTTGAACAGGGATAATTAAATGAAGATTTTGTACCTGTGATTGTTGACTCATTTCATGTTCCTGGCCCATGATCCATTTGGCGAGGCCCTCTTTTTCTGCCTCTGAATGGAATAGAATAGAATTCTTTTATTGGCCAAGTGTGGTCGGACACACACAAGGAATTTGTCTTGGTGCAAATGCTCTCAGTGTACATAAAAGAAAAGAGACATTCGTCAAGAGTCGAGAACCCCTTCCCTCTTGGTACCTCCAACCGAAACAAGGTGTATCTCTTTGCACAGCCTGCCTCTCAGTCTCATTTTTTTGTAAAATTTAGGGGAGATTCTTTTGAAAGATGCTGCTTGTGATTCTGGGCTGGTCTTTTCCTTAAAGCTTTTAAATAAAGTGTAATTTGTCATTTGTGCCTGCTACATGCCACTCCTGAGGGAAGGAGGCAAATTTTTTCCGTCCCACGCATTGCAAGCTCACACCAGAAGGCAACTGCATTTTTAGAACTCTTGCTTTTTGGAGGTCTAGCAGGCCAGACTTGGAGGGCTCCTGTCCCCTGGATTTAAGGCAAGGGAGGGGATTAGCGGCAAAAATACTCCAAAGCTCTTGTGTGGAGGCAGAAAGGTTGGCCGGCCTGAGGGTGCAAATCCAGAGAATTCCTGGGGTGGGGATGACGGCTCCTGATCCCTCACTCTGCAGGTTCAACCCCTGGCTGGGCTTGTGCAGTTGTGAAAACGAACTGTGGGCGTTGAAGCAAAAGCGGATGGAATCTTTCCTTCTGGAAGTGAGCGTGTGTAAACTTTCTTTCACCACAAGAGGGCAGTGCTGCTCCCCATTTCTGTATTTTTCCACCTGTAGGACAGACACCCAGGCTTAGAGAAGCAGTGGTGGATGGGTTTTGGTCCTCTCTGAGGTAGGGGAGCTTCAGGGGAGGAAGGGGGCGGTGCACACAGCCAAGACCTTGGCTTCCGATGCCTCTCTGAGGGACAAGGGGGGTAGGCTGGATGGCACCTCCTTCCTGGACCTGCTCAGTAATAGCAGCAGCAGCAGCAGTTTCCCTCGCGGAACACCTTAGCAGCAGGGCTGCCCGAGGAATGCTGGGAGTTGAAGGCCACGTGTCTTAAAGTGCCCGAGGTTGGAGACCGCTGCCCTTTGGTTCCCCAACACACACACACACACACACACACACATACACACAAACGCGCCTGTGGGTTGGTGGTGAGACCTTTGGCCTGCCAGAGCCAGAGGGGCTCCATTCAAGCACCCCAGAGGGGCTCCATTCAAGCACCCCAAAGGGGCCCACTGTCTTGAGCCTTGGGAGCCGGCCAGGCAATGCCGGGGTCGTCCTCGGGCAGGGCTCCAGCCTCTCCTGCAGCTCTTGCCTGACCCTGGGCACCCAGTGAACTCCCTGCCCCACAGACGGGTCAGCCCTGGGCCCTGCCGTGTTGGAGGAGCAGCTGCCGTAGATGAGAGGCCCCTTCCCTGGTCAGTTGCCCCCAAGGAGCCCAGGCCCCCTTGTCAGTCCAAGCGGAATTGGGGGCAGAGTCCTCGGCGCTTCTGAGCAGAGGGAGCAGCGGGCCGAAGCAGGGCCTTGTTTGGCGCCTATCGCTGGGCCTGTGAGTGGCAAAGGGGCCTCCCTGGGGTTCGGGGGGCCGGTGAGGAGGAGGAGGAGGAGGAGGAGGAGCAGCTTCCCGGCGGGGTGGTCGGCTCCTCTGAGCGCAGCACTCGCTCTGCTTCAGAGCTCCTTTCCGGCTAACGCGGCTGGATCCCCAGGCTGGGCTGCTCTACTCAAGCGGCCGAAAGGCTGGGGAGACACCGGGGCGGATACCCGCGGAGCGGCGGGGATGCAACAGCAAACGAACCCGACGTTCGGCCGAGGTACAAGCGGTGGGGCTGCAGCTCACGGTCTCTTCCCGAGCGATGCAACCCCGGCGGCCGCTCTCTCAGTGCGTGGCCGA